TGATATGCCTCCTTCTCTTTGTATGCAGCACTCTAGGTAAGCTCTAAAATATATAAATGTGTAATTAAACCACACTGTCTGTTTGGGAGTGAATCGGTTCTTTTTACTGCTGTTTTCTGTTCTGTTCTTTTGCTAAGTTGCCAATTCAGGCCTTAAAATATTGTTTAAATCTCTGAAAAGTGGTATTTATTCTGAAGAAATCAGAACAGCAGGAGTATTTGTGTGATGGCATATCTGTGAGCAGCAGACTTAACAGCTCTTTGATTATCTCTAAATCCTTTATTTTGCAGATGTTTGACATCATACATGGTTTTCCATTTGAAATAAAATCCTTGCTGTGAAAACAGTTTGTTCAACAGCAAAATCATAGATCTTTGGAGACTCCCTGAATAAGAGTATCAAAGAGAACAGCTGTCTGATATGAAAAATAACATTGTCCTTAATCTCCTTCAGATGCTTCTAGCTTTGTKTTTTTGCTAGAAATACACCCAAAAATTGAGAGGCTGGATCGGTATCACTGCTTTTTTTTTAATATAATTTCAGATGGCTCAACAGAATTAACATGCTTGCTGCTGGCTATGCAGAAAGAGAGAGGATCAAACAAGAGCAAGGTAATGTGTTGTTATTTTGGTTTTTTTTCTGTCAGTTCTTATCACAAGTTCATCTGTTCTCTTTTCCCTGCTGTGTCTGAGGCCTCATTCTCTTAATCTGAAAGCAAATCACATATGGGTATCACTGTTATTGCTTTAGAGAATTCCTTCTGTCAGGAGTTTTGATTAACTCCTTCAGACTCTGATCTGCAGAGCCTGGATTATTTCTGAGGCTTGCAGAAGATAGCTAAAAGCAGCAGATATATTGCCAGTAARCTCCAGAATGTGGTACCAAGGAATGTGTGTCCCTTATCAGAAGAAACTTAAAAATCTGCCAGCTAAAAAAAAAAATGTTCAAACATTGCATTTGGTGTTTGAATTCACAGAGGGCAGGAGTGCATGAAATTGGTCTCAGGAACAAAACTGTTCTTCTAAAGCCTGTTGACATAATTGGATTTACCCTAAGGATTTTMATTTTAAGGCTACTTCAATTTTGTGGTTTCTGCTGGTTTTGCTGTATTGCAGTGTGTGCTGTTGGCATTTCATTTGGAGTTGCAGGGTTACAGCATTTTCCACGTTTATTTTTTTATGCCTGATATTTCATGGGTTAAAAAGACAGCATGTATAAAATAATGAGCTGCTTTGCTTTGAAGTGTTGCAGTAGAAATCCTGTTTGCAGGCAGAAAAAAAAAGAAAGGGTCAGTCCAATTGTGTTGTGGAGGTTGTTTCTTAGAATTGCCAGTGATATGGATGCACAGAGGTGCTTCTATCCAAATATCTGCTTTGGCAAGCAGAAAGCTTTTGAATTCATGCTCTTTTTGACATATGTACCTTGCAGTAGGCACCAGAAAATTGCAGTGCTCATGATGATCCAGAGTTTATCCAGATGCCTGTCTGCCTGCTGCCCACTCTGTCAAAACCTCCATTTTTAATTCTGTGGCTCTGAAGAATTCTTCAGAAAGCTTCTGGGTTTTGGCCCAAAAAACTCATAGAGCTGCAGCAGCAGTGCATTTAATATTTTCTTTCCTTTTCTAGCTCATTTTCAGGGAGAGTTGTGTTCAAAAGTCTATCACTAGGTTTCAAAATTGGCCACACACCATGAGTGGTTGTTTTTCTGCACCAGTTTATGTGACAGCAGCCTTAGCCCTGACCATCAGGCCAGGTACCATGTGCATCTTCCTGAGGAGAATGGTGTCCATGGTATTCCTGCAGTGCCATTTTCCTGGGAGACACTGTCCAAAAAACTCCTTTCCCTGGTGAGAAGCAAGGGTGACTTTGCAGTCAGGGGGATATTCTGTAGTGGTAGAAGGTTAAAAAGCAGCATCAGAAAACTTTGTCTGCCTTGATTCAAACCCTGATTGCTTCAGCACAGAGCATCCYAGAGGGATCATTCTGGTGTTGAAGAACCATGGTTTACAGCACACTGATGTCACACAGGGGTGAATACTGTGCCTGGGAAGGTTTTTGGGTGCTGTGTCCCTCTCACACATAGCTGGGTTATGTCTGCTCTTGCCTCATTTCTGATCATGTTGTCTGGTAAGTGCAGCTGCTTCTGGGAGTGCTGCCCATACCTTGTTTTGGTTTGGTATGGTCTTTGGCACATCATGTCATTTTTGACATTCACACAGCCAAGGAGGCAGCACTGTGTTTGCTGTTCTTCAGTCGTGTTCTCAGTGTCTCACCAGACCTGGAAATCACTTTGGGAATCCATCCTTCCTAGGCAGCACTGCAGTAACCTGTTTGAAAGAACCTGTGTACCATCTGTTGGCACTGCTTGAAGAGTCTGTGAACAAAAACTCTGAATCTCAGAGTCTTCAAATCCAAATTAAAATCTTTATTGACAGTAGGTTGGCACTAGAATTGCAATGCTATGTGGGACAGTAAGTGAAAAGGTTTATGTTATTCTAATGCTGTCCAAGTGCACTGTTACACACGATTCACCTTTCAAAATCCAGATGGACACGGAGAAATATTTTTGCTCAGAAATCACTTAGTAATAAAATAGCAGCTGATCCAGCTAGACRTGAGATGATGTGCATTCAGGCCTCATGCAGCTCATCATTAAAATGTCTCCCTATTGAAGATAATCAGTGAAGCCCCACTGACTCTGCARATTGTATCCCAGGCACTGAGAGTTCTTTACAGGCATTCCAACACCATTCTCTGATGTTGATTTGTTATATGCAGGCAGGTTGGACTGTACCCTCTCTGTGTTTAGTTCAGTATCACGTTCCCCCCTCTCTGCTGTACAGTTTTAATGCCTTTGGTGATTTTCCTTGGTTCCAACACAAGGGTTGTTACACAGCTCAGTAGTGTCCCTAATTAGCAGCAGCATCAAGTTAGCAAAGTAAAACCTCTCCATCACTTCAAGCATTTTTGCAATTGTAGAAACTGTGAAGCTRGAATATTCTATATTCAGTGACTGTACCAATTGTCATCTGCATATTTGATTTGACAAAAGGTCTTTTATTTCTGTTCGGTTCAGCCCTTTGCAGCAAAGCTTTATAATACCTCTGAAACAATTCCACAGGAGTTGTCAAATCTGTCTCAATTAAGAGTTGAATKGTTCTGAATCTAAAGTGCATAAATATATTTCAAGAGCTTCAGAGATGCACGAATCACTGAATTGTGGGTGTACTGCTGAATAAAATGTTACATTCTGTACAGAACAGTTTTATAAAAATACCATCAACTTTTCATATGAAACACAATGAATGTTAGCAATACAGCAAGGGACTTCCTCGGATGGAGAAGTTATATACCTTCCAGTCATATAAATCAGAAGGAAAAAAAAAAAAAAAACTAGTTTATATAAATAGAACATATATATTTGGGAAATGGCAGGTCAGTTTTAGTTTATACATAATACATTCAGTCTATTAGTCACTGAAAAAACTTTCAAGATATGCCTTATGCATAAAGCTTGTCCATCACTGAATTGGACAAAATCTACAGAGAGAAATACAGCAACTGTTTCATAGCATCATACATGGTTTAGATAGACTCTAATGAGTCAGCTGCATTTTTTAAAATTGGTGGGAGGCCATTTTCATATATTTCATCTGATAATTGACCCTTGTTACTGCAGAAATTTTCAAGACAAGCCGTAGGTTGCTGATAGAATTCCCTGTCTGAGACAAGGTGTGCAAAAACGTCAYTGTACTTTGTTTTCTTGTATGTGGATTTGACAGCAAGAACACCTTCRTATTTTTAGCCAAAATTGGAGCCTGCACTGAGACTGCTAAATTTTACTTTCAGAATAAACAGTTGAGCTCCACATCTCCAGAAATGTCACAGAATGATGCAATTCTGACAGGTCTCTCACTATACATTACACCATTAGGCTTTGCTGAAAACTTGCCTACATGCCAATATTTTCAAGTGTTTTTGGTTGCTGAAAAMAAGTTTTCTAAAACTAGGATTTATTTAGAAAAAGATTTTTCACTGATTTAGTCTTTCATTCGCTAAAAATTAGTTATTTGCAGATGTCTTAGAGACATAACTGTTAGGATTTTTTTTTTTATTTTGTAGTCATAAAAATTTTGTTTGTGCAACTTATTTATTATACTGTTCAAAGAGAATCTCTCAGCTCTAAGCTTGCAGGAAGTAAATCAAGARACTCAGAGTTACAACAGAATTGCTACTGCGTGGAAAAATTATATGGATAAATTAGTCTGTCTCCAACATTACCAAAATCTAAAAAAAAATACAAAAAAACTATAGGGACACCTGTTTCAAGATGGTGTAATTTAAAGGTAAGTTTATGTTTTAAGTCTTGAATAAGATTAGATGTGGTAGATCACTAATCATACAATACAATAATTGTAACAAAATACCACTGAATTCAAAATTATATGTTGTGTGAGCTTGGATTTTTAGTTTAGATCATTTATGAAGCAGCAATCCATCTTTTTCTCCTTATCTATCAAAGAGAGAGTAGTAAATCATKCACTTCGTTGAACACTTCCTAGGTGAAGTGAAAATTGTCTGTGATTAATCTGTGAGTAGTCTGAGCTAAAGTGTCCTGTCATACAATGATTTACCCAAATACTGAAGGTAATACAGTCAGAAACAAAGTGACAACAGAAATGTTTGCTTAAGTCTTACARTGTGCAAAAAGGTTAATGCTGTCCGTGGTGAACTGAGTCAGCAGTTAAAGTAGGGGCTTTTTTTGTGAAGAATATTGAGGTTCTGTGTCCCTTTAGTTATGCTGTTCCACTTCAAAAAATATTTGTAACAGAATAAATATAAATTCCCATGTGGTATATTCTTGCCTGTGTTTTCCCTTCTGAAATAAGCTTAGCCAAGACTTGATTTCCTGAAAGAATGAAGCCTTGTAGCCCATTAAACTTAGCCCACAAAATCTGYGTCCTTTGTACTTTCTCATCCTTCCTTTCCAACTCTGTTTCAAATGTCATTGTCATATTTTTTCTTACCATATCACCTTTATGTTCTTGCATGGATAACGGGGCAGCAGCTGTTTTATCAAGCCAATGTACCATATGAAGTTTTTCTGTCTTAGCTTAAATGCATCTGTTTGTATTAGAAATTGAATTGGAAAAGCTTGTGTAACTGGTAGAAATATAATGGAGAAAATGGGCAGAAAAATAGCATTGATTATTCATGTGTGCAATAACCCCTACCTTTTTGATTTGCCAGTTGGTTAAATACATTTGTTGATGTTATTTGCAGTCAACAAGACTTTAGCAAAGCTATATTTTTAATCTTTTCTGTTCAAAAAATACTGTCATTATTTTTCAGCCAATACATGTCCAATCGTAATTTTTTGCGGCTGTATAAATATTTTAAAATCCGATGCTTGCATTAAGAACATTCTATATGCCTGTTGTATTTATAAGTTGCATATAAGAGTTAAATTTTTGGCTCATTTTCAGGTTGTTATTCAATATCTGTGTAACGGGACGTTACATTTATTCTACCCCATAATGTTTAGATTTTTTTTTCTTTAGATTATGATAATTCCAAATTGCAGCAACTAACAGTGACAGCATCAGCATTCACTGGTATTTCACTCCAGATAACATCAAATTAGGAATTTCCAGTTGGTTTTGTGAAAGCAGGTGTGTGATACACAAATGCATGGAAATGTTTTTGACCCGATCCTTACGTTTTTTGTAGATTACTGGAGCGAGAGTGACAAGGAGGAAGCTGACACTCCATCAACACCGAAGCAGGACAGCCCCCCGCCCCCGTACGACACGTACCCACGGCCACCTTCAGTAAGTCACCCAGAGAGTCACTCCTGCCTGCTCTCCTGCCCACCACGGCACTCAAAAGTGTGTTTTTTGAGTCAGTGCTTGACTTAAGGCGTTTGAAATTTAACACACATTGTGGATTTCAACAGCCACCATTGCTGTTTTCACTGGTTTGTAGAGAACAGGGATTTATAATCCCGCTTGCTGTACAAAATAGATTAAGTTACAGAATTTTTCCTTTCTGTTSTTCGTTCCTGATGGACAGCTACTCATCCATGCAATCCCTCACCACCCCTTTATCAACTTTCTGACAAAATGTTATTACCTCAGGAACAACACAGACTCTTCTCTAAGGCTCCAACAGTTGTGCTTTACAGTAACAAATTACAGTTGAATTTCCAGAGAAATGGCAACATAAAAACGCTACATCCTGTATTGTAAACAGTAATACCAGTAATTCTGTTACTGTGAAAAAGTAGGTTTCTCTTATAGAGAAATAAAAAAAAAGAACAAAAGGGGATTTGTTGGGGTTTTTTTTCGTTTTCATGAAGCAGTTGTTGATACAAAACTAAATTATAGGCCTCTMATTTATTCTGCACCGGCAGTTTTAACTTTCATGTCTGTATACTCAGTGTTAACTAATGCAACTTGGTTGAATATGGTTTTTGGAATGTACAATCAGGAAATTCCACGGAAAGAGTACAGTCATGTTGTTTCATTTTGAAGGCAATACTTTATCTTACAAAATTATAGATCTTTCAGTCACAGAAGTGAAGCAGTGCAARCGTGATTCCAAAGAAATTTTTAGCAAGATAGGTTAACAACAGGCATTTGGATTTCATTTTTAAGATTTTGAAAGAACCGGGTACATCCCTTCTATGTCTTCCATAGTGCCATATTTTACACCATTTTGCGAAGTTTTCTGCAGATAATTTTGTTGGCTTATTTTATGGATTAAGTGTGAAAGCGACAGTACTTATGAATAAGTATCAGTATTTGACCTCCAGGTGTGAGGTGTACAGACATGGTATGCATTAAAATTAGGAT